TTTGCTTCTGACCTTCGATGATCCAGTTCAATCGTACTAATAAGCGCAAATTACTCTAGACAAAAATTTGTGTGTTTTTTTGTTTTTAAGTGTGTTGAAATCTGTTCTTCTGCATTTATACTGTACGGACGTAAATTTACTTTCCCTTCAGTTGGTTGAGGCTTATTCATTTCACTTTTGGTGTGAAAAGGCTTTTATATTTGCCAAAAATATAACTTTTTTTTATTTTAAAAACAAACAAGCAAGCCCTGCCGAGATTTAAAAAGTAACGTAACGCATTACTTTCCATAAAAAGTAACGAAGTAATGTAAGTAGTTACTTTTTTATGGAGTAACTAAACGCAATATTGTAATGCATTACTTTTAAAAGTAACTTTCCCCAACACTGCATTGATGTGCGTTGGCTCGTTTACATCAGATGTGTAAAATGAAACGCAAAGGAGCAAAATCGAGTGCTTTTGTTCAAAGAAGCACTTGTTACGCTCCCGCTTGCTGTGTAAATGTCATCGCTGATGTTTGCGGGCGCACGGCTGTAATGTATACGTTTCTGCATCTCACGCTGTTTCACGTCAGACACTGTCTCTCGTCTTTTGTCTGGGCTTCTGTTGCAGATCACTGGCCGCATCTGTTCGCCTTCAGTTGTGCCCCGAGCCGGAGTTTTGAGCGCCTCTCGCACTCATGGCCGTCGCAGTGACCAAGCTGACCAGCGGTGGCGCTGTCCGCATCCGCATCAGATGTGGGGAGCTGGGGACCACCAAATGGAAAGAGGGGGTCTTTGAAATCCACGAGAGAGACAACAAAGTAAACCTGCTAGTTAAGTTCAACAGTGGTGGAACTGCGAGAATGTTTCAGGTACAGAACGGTCTTTTAATTTACACCTGAAAGCCTGACGTATGACAAAAAAACGTGCTGCTGTTTGTTGAGCTTCGTATGCAGTGTGGGTGCAGTTGCTGATATTTATATGGCCTAAAAGATGAAATTCTGGTAGTTTGTAATGTAAATCAATGTGGTCTTTATAACCGTACAGCAGATTACTTGCATAAAATGCTTATGAATATCATTTGATACTCTATATCTCACAATATTGTCTGTAAGTTGATTTTAAAAAGTTTATTATCAAAACTTTGTAGTTTTAATTGTTTGAAGATTGAAAGATGAACAACTAACATTCTTCAAAATCCTGATTATCATATTTGATACTCGCATTTTAATACAATTTATCTTTAAAACCATTCCATGGATAATCAAGTAAACCTGAGTAAATGTTCATCTTGAAATATTACAATGGAAAACATTCTAACTTTAATAAAAATTTGTAAAGTTTTCACAGCTAAAAGACGAACACAAAAACACAAGCTGAAGGTGGATGTTTTTACAATTACACTAAAAGGTTTTTTACTTGAAGTATTAACTATCATTCAGAAAACAGAAGACGTGTAGTAGATTATGTACAGGCAAGTTTGATCGTGTTGATAGTTTTGATCCTTAGAAATGTGTATGAAATATCTGTAAGGTTCTCCTTGGAGACATGTGGTGTCATTTTAAGACATGAGCATTAGGCTTGCCGCGGTGCTGACGGTGTTAAGCCGCAACACCGGTTACGTCACTTGCCCACCGTCACAGCACACCGACCCCCACCGTCGTTTTGATTATTTTATAGAAATAAAAATAATTTAGTTCAGTAAAAGAACAGACACTACAATTAAAAACTGAACGCGGCTGCTCAATGCAGCGTGCCAAATGACAGTCGCATCACAGATCAGATTTCATTTCTCCAGCGAGGAGAGTGAGTCCAGCTGACTGACAAGAAGAGTGGGGTGAGACAGACAAGACGATCGCGGATGATTTAGTTTCGAAACGAAATGCAAAAGCGCTTGTTTGGCAGTATTTTGAAAAGCCTCTTGACTTTTGCCGTTTATCTGATTTTGGAAGTTTTTATTTTTTAATTTTTTAAACATTCGTTTCTTATTTAATTGGTTCCACAGTGTTTGCTGATTTTTACTTTATTTAAACTTTGTAAAATGTATTTATTTTATTTGACATCAAGGTGTGTGTCGTGCCTTCAAGATTTCTTATTCGTTTTGCTAATAAACGTTCTACGTTTCTTATTTATTTGGTTATATTATAGGCTACATGTTAACTTATTTCCAGTTTTGTATACCCATTTAAACTTTATGTAAGTTATTTTATATTAGGCATAGCCTGCCCTATAGCATGGTGTATTTTTTTTTTGTTAATAAAAGTTCTATGTTTTATATATAGGCTAAAGTGAGTATAACGTTGTTGCATTCAAGCAATTGATGCCGAATTGCCGCTATTTGAAAGTGAAAATAAAATGCGCACATCGCATTTACAAGCTATTTAAAAGCGAAGGAAAGCGAGGAAAA